GTGACAGAAATCCTTGGTTGAAATGGTGTAACGTGAATGCAAAGTACAAGAGAGAAACAAGTCAAGATATGTGAATTTATAGGCAAAATCGCTAGTGTAACGAGGGGCAAATGCCGGCAATAACGTAGGATGAGATCTACCAAGTCGATTCAGTATTGAGTGGCAGCCCTATCAGCCAAGGACGTAGTCATGGTGGAGCCCATACTACCCCGCAGCGGGGATAGTCCCGAAGGTAACCTAGGACGCCTTGCTGTATCTCGAGCACAAATATGTATGGTGCTATAATTGTGTAAGAACATCATCTTCGAACACTCGTCCCACAACACACTCATGATGTTATGTATATGACTTTTGGTCGGTCGTTGAGTACGTAGTATGGCGATGCGAACAATTGCGAGATGTCAAGTTCGTATGAAGAGTGAAGTCTGATACGGACCAGATAACACATCCGGTAAGCTCAAAGCAAAACGGATACTTCGGCGTCCTTGCTATAGGTCTCAGACTCTACTTGGCGCGTATTTTAGCGCTGAGATCAGGCCCGCTTCAATGCGGATTTCAATTCCTTCAGCGCAGCCATGACAAGAGGAACTGTGATAGGGCCTAGCAAAGGTAGGTACACGGCGACCTTGTGCTCATCTGGAAAGTACACTTGGCCAACCATGGAGCGTTCAAAGAAAGCTTTCTCAGCCTCTACCTCTGCAGCCCGGGCGTGTTCTAACGCGCTGGGAAACCGGCCATCTCGAAGATAGTCGCAAGCTTGATGCAGATTCGCGATAGTGCGATGCGTAGACTGGGCTACGTTATCAGGAACCGGAATAGATGGGAGCTTCTGATACACCTGAGCCAAGGCGCCCAAGGTAGAGGAAGCAGAGAAGATGAGTGAGGCAGCTCGCACTCGTTCCAGGGTTGATATGCGCAAAGGTAGCGATGCTGGGCTTTGGGGCAGTCCGAACAGTGAGATGAGCTGATTTGAAAACGTGTGCATGACGGGTGCAAGCATTTCTGCAGTAAGCTCGGGTGGCGTATCTGACTTCCCTTCTAGGTTAAGGATGTGGACACCTCCCCATTGTGGAATAAGCCAGCTGTTCCCGCCATTCTCTTTTATGAGTAGTGGTGATTGTGCACGGTCCGGGACGTAGAGGATGAAATTGACAGTTGGACCCTCGCCAATGCTGGGGCTTAGGGGCCACTCGGCAGCGTTTACAAATCCACTCAAGTCTTCCTTGCGGAGTGTCCACGCCTTTTTGTCTTCGTCGTATTCAGGCTGTCGGATGGAGGGTGTGTAGGTAGCATAAAGTTGGACTTGAGTATCGACAGTGAAGTTGCTAATAGCTGACAAGGCTTCCAAAAGGGGGCTCATGTATTTCTCAAGTGCCGTCTCAATATCCCATTTCGAAGGTGCATATGACGGACTGAAGAGGGAAAAGGTCAAATGGTATGTGGGAGCATACTTGAGAGCGCGCGTGGACTGGCGTTGGAGCTCAGCGGACGTTTCGGGGGAGAGGGCTTTGATTTTGGCAGCATGTGCGCCAGAGGAAGTCGAGAGTACGTGAGCCAATTGGGCCTGCTCTTCAGCAAAGATGTTGTGTAGCTCTTGAGCGAGAAAGGTAGCTAGGCTCGAGCCGGTTGAGGACTGTGAAGGTATTTGATTGGGCGCATAGTAAACGTCCAACGTAGGAGAGTAGGGCTGCAGTTGCGAACGGGGCGTGGTGCCAGTTTCGACAGGTATCAGGCGAATGACTAGGACAACGTCCTTGTCGTCGCTAGGAATGCTTGCTCCGTCACTAATGACTACTTGCTGCGAGGTATTGGGTTGCAAGGGCGGATCGGCGAGCATCAGACGGAGATGGTGTGCGGAGAAGTCGTTGATATCGTCGAGAGCATGCTGGGTGGTGCGAATGAGGTGCTGAGCGTCAAGTGAGGGAATTGGGGCTTCGACAGCTATGCGCAGAGGAAAGACTGGCTTGCAGACCTGCAATCGTGTCAACTTGGTTCATGAAGATTGGATGCGCGCAGCGTCACGCATACCTTTGCCTCAGCCCAGTCAGTCATCTCCTGCAGTGGCAATTCTGCCCGGTAGATGGCTGTAGTCTTCAGCCATACTGGCAGTCCCAGCAATAAGACGACAGCCCAAAAGGAGACAATTGACCATCGTCGTAGCCACAGGCTTTCCTTTGTCTCTGGCGGAGGCTGGCTTTGTGTCTTGGCAGCCAATTTTGGTGCCTCTGAAGACGAGGATAGTGCTTGTTTTGAATCGCTCGTCGGCGACGCGTCAGTGTCTGTTGGTGCCGCCATGTTGCGGTTGGGGTTGTCAACGTCGCACTCTGGACGATGTCGCGCCATGATGCGCGTCCGTGCGCCTCTCCACTACGCCAGCCAGCCCACCATGCCATGACCCACCAGCCAGTCGATACATGTTAGGATGAATTGAGCAACAATGATGACTATTCAATTTTGTTCTCATAGGACACTGATATCCTTTCTACTTGAGGTTTTGTTCCAAAGATTTAACGTTGTTACCTATCTTCTTTTCCACTATCCTGGCCAAGACGCTGCAAAACGCACTCTTGCCAGCCGCCTCCCCAGCCCCTGTACTATATCTGGCACTAGATGCGTGGAAGGTTTAGGTCATCTGCTAGTAGCTTTCAGTCCCCTGCGCCTCTTTCGGGGGTTGACTACCATGTCATTGTAGTTTCTTAGTAATCTGCTTTCAGTTCAACTTTGCAACTGTCAGAGAGTAGAGGACGGACAGAAAAGGTTTGTAACAGGCCAGGATACTGAATTGATGTTCATCTGTAGACTATCAAGGCTTTTCGAGTAGGGTTAGTCTTCGTTCTATTGCAACTAGACGTCGCGTGGCATGGGTAGCCTGTGAACGGCTGGTCTGTGCACGATAGTTCGGATGAATGTCCGCAACACGGCCTGCGGTCAATGGCATTGGATCCCCTGGCTTTGTCATACACACATGTCGTCTTGGAGTTCCGAGATGCTTGCTATCATCACAGCCTCAAGGACGCCTTTGGGCCAAGCAGGCACGCGAATAGTCTCTGGGTCTGCCCGAAGGCTCAGTGGTCCGCAAGTGGGATCGCCCTAGAGCCCCGCTCGACCATGCCTGTTTGGGTAGTCTCACGGTCCGTGCGATGCGGGGTTGCATATCTGGGGAAGGGACTCGCCAGACAGTGACGCGGTGCTCACGAGATCGAGGAGAGTTACCCCTCTCGGCTGAAAGAGCTTCGCTCGCTCCAGCTGCTGCGTCTCTCCTTCATATAAAACCTTGATGTTCCATCCCTTCATCTACTCAATCCATTCCATCCCATTCACATCAAATCATTCAAGATGAGTGCAGTTGCAGACAACACCGATGGCCGCGTCGAGCAGGTCAAGGTGTTGTTTGCTCTCTTTGACAAGTACAATACGCTCGACGTGGCCGGCCCCCTTGAAGTGCTGAGCCGTTCCCTCCAGGACCCCAAAGACCCCAGTAAGTCAACCATCCAGATATCCTACGTGCTCCGACATGAGCTGGGCTATCATGGGCCAATTGGTCTCTGGCTGACAAGCTGTAGACAGCAAGGCCTTCGACTGCCAGTTCGTCGGCACCGCAGCGGCCATGACCTCTGTCCAGGGTCTCACCATCAAAGCCGACATGGACTATGAGGTATGAAGCTTCTTCCTACAGCATCTCCCGAAGCCGTACTGACTCAATGGCCCAGGACGCCAACAACGAGCTCGATGACTTCGACGTCATCATCGTTCCCGGTGGTGAGGGTGTGTTCGAGGTGCTCAAAAACAAATCTGAGCCCCTGAACCTCCTCACCAAGTACGTCGAGCTTCAAGAGAAGAACCCCGTCAAAGAACGCACCATCCTCGCCATCGATGTGGGTGCCCTGCTCCTTGCTCAGCAAGGCATGCTCGAGGGCCTCGCTGCTACAACCCACCCCGACTACTACGTCCGCCTCGAGACCATCTGTCAAGACGCGGCTAGGCGGGACATGTCCATGCGTACCGATGTCATGGAGGAGCGATACGTCGTCAACAACGCTCGCTTCGACCTGGGTGAAAATCCCGAGGAGAATCCGTGAGTCAAACACCCGCCGCTCCAGCTTGCCACCAGCTAACCCTTCTAGATACATCATCAAAAAGTCTCGCGAGCCTCAGAGCCCTGTTGAAGGCACCAATATGGGCCACGCTCGTCGTAAGTCGATAGCTCGCAAGGGCAGCAATGCTTGGCGTGACTCTCGCCGCCGCGAGTCCATTGCTAGGCGTGCCTCCATGCCCCTTGGCGGTATGCGTGTCATCACCACTGGTGGTGTGACTGCTGGTCTCGATGCCAGCTTGTATTTGGTAGGCTCTCTCGCATCCCACGACTCGGCCCTGGAGGTCGCCCGTGTTATGCAGTATACTTGGGTCAAAGGCGTTACGGTCGATGCGATCGATGTTTGAGCTACGGCTCAACGCAAGAAGCGAAGGCGTTAATAAGGGTTGGGTAGTACAGAGATCTGAATGATCATCTGAAGCATGTCGGGAATCGCAGAGATTGACCACGACGAATCATGTGAGGATTCAACAAGGAATGTAAAGATTAAGAAATGACTGAATGCTCTGCTTTGGCGTGATGCTGTTGGGATGGATTGATGTTGATGACAAACAAGCCGACGCGCTTGTTCCCATAGCTCCACAGCTCCACTCCCGTCCCAGTCGCTTCTAGACTTGCACGTGGGAGCGTCTGCGTCTATCATTCATCACAGACACAGGCAAGGGAACTCAAATGGCCAATCATAGGTTCCCAGTGACATGCACCCTCAGCTCGACCGCGAAACTAAGCTCGCGTCTACACACCGTTTTGCTGGGCTCATATTTCTCCCGGTAAAGCCACGGGGGTTTAGAGCGAATGGCATCATCGCTTGAGGCTTGGCTCGAACCATCCCAACGACAACAATGGCCATCCTGTTCAAGCATCATTGATCCTACACCAGCGTCCTATCCATGATTTGGTAGTTTCAATGTCGCTACAATCCCTCATCGGCTCGCTGAGGCGTTCGCGCCCGTCCCCGACGCCGCGTGAGCCATCATCAGATGTGCGAGGCAACAACGATACTCTTCCAGACCGCCTTCTTGATGTCTTCTTCAGAATGTGGGATCTGGGGTTCACGTCATTTGGAGGGCCGCCTGTCCATTTCCAGATTTTACATCGTCGCTTTGTGGAGGGTAAGGGTGTTTCTGGGAGGAAATGGCTGGACGAACAGGCTGTGAGTAGCTTTCTTTGTATGACTGTGTTGAATCGGGAAGGATTCAGACAACAGGAGTGGTTTGGCACTGGAATAGAGATGCGAAGGGAAGAATTCATCTCAAGCTAACCTTGCTACTCCAGTATCAAGAGCTATTCGCAGTATGTCAGGCTCTTCCTGGCCCGGCATCGACCAAAATGTGCTTCTGCATCGCTCTCCTACACGCCGGAATGATCCCCGCCATCTTCGCCTTCATGCTCTGGAGTCTCCCTGGTGCAATTGGAATGTACGCGCTCTCACTCGGCGTACAAAAGATGCCTGAGCGCCTCCCTTCGATTGTATACGCTTTGCTCTCCGGTCTCAACGCTAGTACTGTTGGAATCATTGCGCTGGCTGCTGTACAATTGGCTGAGAAAGCAATCCGAGACAAAATAACACGGATACTCGTCATTTTCGGCGCATGCGCAGGACTGTGCTACAGCGCATTGTGGTACTTTCCAGTCCTGATTGTCTGCGGTGGCGTGGCAACTGTGATCTGGGATATCTGGCTCATGAGGTGGGTAGGCAAGATGAAAGCGAAATATCAAGCCCAACGCCGCCGCGCAAGAAACGAACAAGGCGATGCTGAAGAAGAGATTCAGCATGCGGATATCCAGCCAACACCCCCTGTAGAACTCACACGGCCCCAAGCCGTCAAGCGGAGACCCCAGGCTGGAAGCTCGACGGTAGACGACGCTGCATCCTCCCACGAAAACTTGACCTCACACCCCACCCCCATCTATGAACCCGCAAGCCACACTCCCGAACCACCCCAGCCAGAAATCAAATCCCACAACATCTCCGTCAAACTCGGCGCCACCCTCATCATAACCTTCACCATCTCCTTCATCACCATCATGGTCCTCCGCGGCACCCTAACCTCCACCTCCCGCCCCTTCGACCTCTTCTCAAACATGTACCTCGCCGGCACCATCATCTTCGGCGGTGGCCCCGTCGTAATCCCCCTTTTGCGCTCGTACGTCGTAGACCCCGGCTGGGTCACCCCACGCAACTTCCTCCTCGGTCTCGCCCTCATCCAAGCCTTTCCAGGCCCCAACTTCAACTTCGCAGTCTACCTCGGTGCCCTTGCCCTTGCGTCGGCGCCAGGCTCCACGCCCACAATTGTAGGTGCCATACTGGGCTTTCTGGGCATCTTTGCTCCTGGAATCATACTGGCGGTGGGGGTCCAGTCGTTTTGGCAGGTACTCAGGACTAAGCCGTGGGTTGTGAGTTTGCTGCGTGGCATTAATGCGACGGCTGTGGGGTTGGTGTTTACGGCTGTGTATAGGCTGTGGGAAATTGGGTATTTGACGCCTGAGAGTGGGAGGGGCAAGAGTTTGGCGGATGAGCCGTGGTGGGTTGTTGTGGCTGCGCTGGCGTATGCTGAGACGGCGTGGTTTGGGATTCCGCCCGCGGTGGCGATTCTGTTTGGAGCAGTGTTGGGCATGGGGTGGTATGGGGCTGTTGGGAGCTAGATAGATTATGGGAATGTTGTATAGTGTGAGGAGATTGGATGTAGAGGGCAGTGCGAGAATGCGCAAGTGTAGTAATATGAATCAATCATAGATAACTGTTCTAATATACATGTTACTCGAGAAGTAACGCAACTATAGCGACTCCGTATTAGAGGGGAGGAAGATACCGTTTCTTTCCAGCAATCAGAGCCTTAAAAAAACCGGCAACTCTCTCAACCCAACTAGCCATTCAAACAAACAAAAGAAAAGGAAAATGGTCATCTCCATCTGGCCCAATGAAGAAACCTCAGATGAATCCCCCCATCCCCAATAAAAATCAAAAGTCTTCCGAACTCCCCCCCAAAAAAAATCCCAATCCACAATGTGATAGTTGATTCCCTTAATCCCCCCCAAAACTCCAAACATCCCATAGTAAAACCAGACCAAAAGCAAGAAAAGAGAGAGAGAGAGAGAGAAAAAACGGACAAGTCTACACCTCAAGTGTAGTACCCTCCATTCGGTGCCGAAGTCGAAGTATTAGGGTCATTAATCTTGCCTCCGCCATTGTGGATGATAGGCGGCTTGCTATAGCGCTGGCCCCGCGACGATGACGAAGTGGTGTTTGCGCCGGATTGTGTGTAGTAGCTCTGGTATGATGATGACGAAGAGGAGGTTGAGTATGCTGACGGGGAACGTTAGCATCGGCGGTTTTGACATGGAAGAGTAGGAGGAGGAGGCTTACTGGTTGATGAGGTGGAGGGGCGCGAGTATGAGGTGCCCTTTTGCGGGGTGTACGAAGTGTACGAGTATGATGATGATGACGAAGACATGGTTGTGGTTGGTGATGTGGTGTTGGTGGCGCTTGGGAAAGTCGTGTTGGATGTGGAAGAGGTGTAGGGTATGGTGTAAGTGTCTTTGTTTTGTCTGACTTGTTCGGGACGGTGATATATATGTTTGATTGAGTTGGTTGCTTTGAGTTGAGTATGGTAGAAGAAGAAAAAAAGAGTACACGCTCGATAGTCTATTTATTCCAGGCAGACAACCTACCCTGAGGCCGCCATTTAGGGCTTCGTCCACTCACGTAAATCCTCCTACTAGTCAACTAGGCATTTTTTTTTTGCTTCTCTTCCTACTGCCATCATAGTTGCCTGAATACCTGGCTTGCTGCGGCTCACGTGTGAGTGGATAGTGCGCCCTAGGGAGAACCGATGATTCACACTCGGCGTGGCTATGTCGTTCGTCCCAAGTCCCGACCGCGTCAGAAAATGGTAAGAGGAGAAAGGGAATTAGCGACTAGACTAGGCTACAATTTTACGGTATGCCCAAACCGGTATGAGGGCGAAAAGGAGTCATCGTGTGTACATGCATGCTTGCGCAAGTTCACCAGAAGGAAGCCATGTTCAGTTGTCGACTAGAAACGCGTCACGGCCGGTCACGGTCCAGGCAATGACTTGCATGTATGGCTGCAAGGCACGATAAGCAAGGAGGCCTATGACAAGGCGTCACGGAAAAGGGTGGAAATGCGTAGTCCAGTGACGTCGCTCTTGGTCCTCAGGCTTCAGCCATTCGAATTGGGAATATGGTAATAGGGAGAAGGTCTGCTGGCGAGCTTTTGGGGTCACCGGTGTGCCAAAGAAGGTATGGCGTGGGGGCTTAGAACACGGAAGCCTGGAGGCATCGTTCTTGAAACAATCACCGTATTGTATCAGGGGAAAGAAGAAAACAAAAAAAAAGAGTTTCGGCGGTTTCCGATGATGTTTGAAACAGGAAGATTGAGTGGGTGGGAAGGACGAGGCAGAGAGGAAAAAGGGCGTCGTTGAGGGCGAACCGAAGGCGCAGTCGGCCTTAGCGGGGGTTGCTGCATGCACCCAACCGTCCATGCGGGCAAGGCTCACACGCCATTCACGTGGATACGAGTCATCTATTGACTCAAACTACGATGGCACGGGGATTGCGGCTGTGATCGCGCAAGTGCGCATATGTTCGCCTGCGCATAGCCAGCCGTAAAACTGCTGGAGACATGACGCACGACATCTTTCCACGCAGGACCCAAATCATATATCTCTCATTTGGCGCAGTCGGAAAGCGTACACCGAAGCGTGGGAATTCGCTCTCTGAAATCGGAATTGGCATTGAACATATTGGGTATCGCTACTTTGTCCCCCTCTTCAGTCTGTCGTACATCTCATACGCATCCAGTCTTAATCATACAATTTCAGCGCACCATTGAGGTCTCCAGCCACAACCTTCGATGTCTCCCTTGGATGCCACTGTACTGCGAGCACTGGCGCATCGCTGGCTGGAATCTTGTGGTACATTTTACACGTCTTCCAATCCCAGAAACAAATGAAACCACCGCTGTCACCAGAGCTGATGAATTGCCCGTCAGGACTGATTGCCACATCGGGTGCATATCCAGCCACGTTGTGCCCTCTGTAGCTCTTCTTTCGATTTTGCCTGAAGCGGTCTGTCGAACTGTACACCGTAATCTGATTATCTGACGACTGGAAGGCAACGTATTTGCCAGACGGGTGGGGCGAGGAGCGGACCATGGAAAACATGTACGGTTCAGCAATGAACTTGATAGGGACAGGGATGCCGTATTCCCATGCGCGGAGAGACTTGTCGTCGGATGTCGTGATGAAACGGCGGTTCTCGTCGCAGAAGGTGATTGTGTTGACAGGCCCCAGATGGTGGTCGTATTCTTGCACCATCTCTCCGCTTCTTGTGTCGTACTGCATGATCTTCTTATCACTCATACCGGCCAGGAACTCGTGGGGCATGCTTGGATTGATGCGCACGACGTGCGGTGTCTTTCCAGTTGTGAATTTATTCAGGCACTTGCCAGTCTCCGTGTCCCATATCTTCATGTAGCGGTCGTAGCTAGCGGACACGAATTGCGTACCACTGGGATTGAAATCAACGTCGACAACCGACTTCGTATGACCGGAATACGTTCGCAGCAGCTCGCGCTGGTGATACACGTCCCATAGTGCAATCTTGGAGTCGGCCGAAGCAGAGAGGAGGAGGTGACCGCTGTCAGGTATGAAGCGGACTTGTGTAATCGACTTAGTGTGGTATTTGTAGGTGTGGATGAGCTTCTTTGGTATGAAGTTCTTTGGTTCATAGTCGCCAGTGAGCTTGATATCGAGGTCCGTAGGTACGTGCATGTAGGTCCGTCCTTGGTAGTCGTATTGCTGGCTGCCAACAAATTCACTCGTCTCGCCCTCGGCCTCAGTATCGCGGTAGTCCGTACCTGCAAGCTTCTTAGGCGCAGTCGCAGAGTTGTCGACAATCTCGTCTTCCTCGTACACTATCTCCACCTCCACATCTGATCCAAACTCATCGTCCGAGGCGGCGTCTGGCCTTTGTTCTTCGTATTTTGCCCAGGGTCCTTTGTATGCGCCAGCTCCACTCACAATACTTGAGTCACCCTTGCCCTCGCGCTTTCTTTTCTTGGATCCCTCTCCGCTTTCAATCGAACGTTGACCTTGTCGGAATGTATGATCGCTGATGTATGTTTCCGCTGCGAAACCGGTTGGGACTCTACCGGAGCCTCCCCCAGCCATGATTATGTTTCGCCGATGATTTCGTGGTCGCGCAGGTTGTATGGGTGCGGCAGACGGAGAGCGGGTGAGGTGCAGTCTTGAATGAAGGAAATCTGGAAATCTGGGGAAAGCTACCTCGTCATGAAATACGGGTGACTAAGCACGCCAAGCCTTTCCCCTTGCACGTGAAAACTACAATGCATTTTCGTAATTATTCTGTATTAACTAATATAAAGGACGAAATAGTTAAATATAAAACTTGGCTAGGAAATTGGTTTTCGCAGTTGTCAACCAAGGAGAAAGTTTCAAGGAAATCTCTCCGACACTCAAATTTAAAAACTCTTTACTGCAGTCTTGAAAGATCGAAGAGGAATTTGTCTAGATGCTGAAGTGTTTTTCAGTAATTGATGTATTTTATATCATACTAATCTAACGCTATTCGTTTCGACGTAAGGATATCGATCTGTCTGAGTCCTATTCTCGTATATCCTTGCGTACTCATAGCACCATCATTGGTACCTGTATGCCCATTGCATACATGACTTGATCGAAGATACAGAGAATCACAAGAGTCCTTATGAACAGGTCTGTGCCTACGAGTAGCTGTACCTCCGGTAGCAACCCTACAATCTGGGGCATGAGCTGGTACAGTGGCGTAGTCCACGACTAATGAGACTCGTCGCGGATAAGAGCAACGATCATGCTGTACAGGTAGAAGAAGAACATGAGCAGATGGAAGCCCAGCTTGATAAAGGATTCCTAAGTGCGTATATATTAGCCACTTGCGCCGTAACACGTTTCTGTAATTCACCTACCTTCTTATGCACATTAAGCTTCCTGAAGATCTCCGTTGCATCCAGTAGGTGCTGGTTCTCAAAGATCCTGGGACAATCAGCAACGTCACTCTTATCACATGGGTTGGCGTGGGCGGCACGCACTTTTTCGCGTTCCATGCCAAAAGGGGCAGGTTCAGCACCAGAGCCATCCAGTATCCATTGATAAGGAAGAGGAAGGTGAGGAAAGCGTGAACGGCGGCTTCGGGAATGATGTAGGTGTTGAGACGGTTACAGAGGTCGATAGGGTTGATGTAGTCGCTGGCGCAAAATTAGCTATTGCCCAATAACAGGGGTCTGCGGGGTCGTCTGTATACGACGACGCTTTCTCGGGAGCTGCTCACCATTCGAGATCGCTGTACATAATGGTGAAGAAGACTTGGAGGAATAGGTTAACGGCGTTTATTAACACCGCCAACAGATACAGCCATGCTTCACCAGTCATTGTGGCGGTAGTGTGCGGGGTAAGACGACGATAGTATTGAGGCTTGCGAAGGAGACGAGCAGCGTCGCTGGTCGGTGGCTGAGGGCGCGATTGAACAAGTGTGCGAGAGATGCCCAAGGCTCGGATGCGGTCGTGTGTTTGCGGGCTGCCGGGGCTAGACGCGGGAAGCTTAGCTTGTGTGCGGGGCCTGGATGG